CAAAAAATATTGGTTATATACTAACCTTTGTTGGGAGATAAAATAAGCAGTTTTCACTAACTTCTAAATATAAAGCAGTAAAATAAGAATAATTTTCTATAAAATTTTTTTAACCAGTACTTATCGTTACCTTCTTCTCATAAAATTAACTAAAAGTATATTTTTATGTTACCTCGACCTTTGATAATTTCTACTTATTGCTGCTTCTTGACTCGTTTTTCATTTGTAATGCTCGAAACAGTAATCGCTCAGAACAAATGAATACAAAAATATTCTTAAATTAGCCATCTCTCAAAACTTTCCACTTTTTTAATATCCACTACTCATACTCCATATTAATAAAATTATTTATTTGCTGCTCTGTCCGATGTGCCATCTTTTAAATAGCATTTATTTTTGGCAGTTGGAGTGATGCCAGATACAGTGGTAATTTAATTTACTTAAAGCTGCAATACAATTTGAGAAACGTTATGACTACATAATTTTTTGTAAAAAAAAACTAAACAATTTTTGCTTCTGAATCATTGATTTAAAAAACATCTTTGATGCTAATATACTATAAAGTTGTTTGCTAATCTTAAATTTGTTGCACAGAAACTAAAGGAGGAAGGCTTTCGTCATTACGGTAAGACCACTCGGTTTTGCTAATAGAAAAAAAATAACCGTTTGAACCAAACTTAACCAATTACAAAGTTTGCCACTTTACGAAAGAAACACTTTCTTTATAAAATATTCTAATGTCTGTCTGTTAAGAGAACTGTCTAATGTACTCTGTTTAATCGGGAAAACAAATTAGCAGTAAAAGTTAAATAAAAGTGATAAAAATCGTCTTTCTTAAAATCTGTAGTATATATTAAGAGAACCGTTCTGCAAAAAAATTTGCTATCAAAAAAGTCCGCAAAAAAGTTTGACATAATTACCGAAATTGAGAAAAACAGTGACAATCGAATGCTGTTTGTGTGAAGACGTTCAGAACCAATAACTTTAAAAAAATTTGAGTATTAGTACATTTTTTTGATTCTGCTTCTCAAGCAGAAAAATTCAGAACTTAGTAATTGTAAGAATACTTTACAATAATCAACAAAAAACAAAAAAAAGGTTATATTAGTAGTACAGACATTTATCTTGTGGTTCTAACAGTAGTTGAATTTTTCTAAGAGGTGAAAGGTTTAAGAAACAGTTTTTGAGTCGTTTTTT